CATAGTGTTATTCCTTTGAATTGAAATAAATTTTATAAAAAGGTAAAAAAATAAAGAAAGAAAAACCTTTTAGTGCATGCTTTCATAAAATTATCAATAAAATTATCATATTCTTCGCCACGTATTCGTTTTCGACGTAATCCAATATAAAATGGATCTTCTAATAAAGTCTGTAGGATGAAAAAATATATATATATATATTCCTAAATTAAAATTAAAATTAATCCTAATTAATCCTACAAAATTAAAATTAATCCTATTACGTAAAATATCACCAGAAATAAATTATCATTTCGCTTTTAAAAATGATAAAATATTAAAATTCATGATGATAATTTATTATTTATTTTTTTAAATGGATTGAAATATATTTCATTCAAATGAAATATGGTAAAGAAAAAATACTGAAAATTATAATGAAAATAAAGTATAGTTGAGAAAAAAGGAAACTTTTTTCTCGATCAATTCTAATTAAACATATAAATGATAAATGTTCAATCAATAAATAAGTATTTATCATTTTTCAAATAACTTATTATATGATGTATGATAAGCAAAGATATTACATTAATATTATCAATAGATATGATAAATTATAGTTATGTATAATTAGTAATGAAAATTTTCATTTCCCTAATAAGGTAAAAGGATTTTTTTTTTTTTGATTAAAATTAGATGATAATTTTACAGGACAAAAAAAAAAAAGAAAGTAACAATAAATTAAGATAAAGAAAAAAATTAATGAAAATGTTTACTTCATTATCTGTTCCAACATCTAATACAACCGGTAAACACCATTTTGGTTGTACACCAGCAAGAGCAACATAAAGAGATAATTTGCCTACAGGTATTCCCATACCATAACATCCAAGATCACCTAGACCAAGAATTCGTTCACCATCTGTTACCACAATCACCTGAATATATGCATATATCAGTAAAATTAAACTTATCATGAGTAAAAATATAATAGGATAAGTAAGCAAAGATATATAAAAATATTAGTATAGGTATCTAAAGGTATAAATAAAAATATTGGCGGGTATAAGTAAGGAAATTAAAAGGAGTAAATAAAAGTGTCGAAAATTTCAAGTAAAGGTTTTGTAGAAGGATACAAATAATTTTGATAAAATTACTATTTTATATTATTAAATAGGCTAATTTATGACAGTAATTATAATTGTTGTTAATTTTACGATAATTTTGCAATTGATCTGATAATTTAAAAAAAAAAAATTGAATTTTAATTGTCGCATTGTAAAATTATTCAAATAATCGTATTAAGAGGAACAGAATTTGAGATATAATCTAATTATTTTTTTTTTTTTTAAATAAAATAAAGTACCAACCCGAATATCAATTTCAGGCCAATTTGAAAGGATATGATAGATTTTGCTAATACTATTATCATTTATCGTTACATACAAACCTCTACAAAGTTATTTCAAACATATTTTAAACAATTTTTTTATTGGTTATTTTGTAAGAAAGGTTTTATTTTTTTTTTTTTTAACACTGAATTAAATAATATTAGTAAAAATTTATTACATTTTACTTTGTATCCTTTCAAAATAAATCATCAAATTTTCTCCTAATTAATGGAAAAACATGAAATGGTGAAAAAATAATTTAAATCGATCAAATTTGAAAATATGAATAGATCATTCCTAATTAATGTAAATATAAATGATAGGAAGATAATTAGATTAATAATTTTAAGATTATGATATAAATGAAGGAATTTTCATTCCCAATTAATGGGATATAAATAATGAAAAGATAGTAAGATTTCATAATTTTGAGGATATGAATAAATGAAGAAATATATAAATATATAATATTGTATATATATTTCATCACTTCATATATAATTAATGCTAAAAAAATAAAGGAAATAAAATTTTGATTTAAAATTTGATTACTTTGGTTTTCGATAAATAAAACCAAATTTTTGGCATGCTAAACCAACAGTTGGCGTATAAACAATTGGAAGAAGTTCTTTAACATGATCACATAATACACGATAATATAATTTTTCATCACGATCCTTTAAAAATACATGCAAAAATTCATTTCACTTTTAACAAATTTAATTTACTATTCTCAATATAATACCTGATAATCTTGGTAAAAAAAAAATTATTAAATTTTAATTTTTTAATTCAAAAAAAAACAAAAAACAATCAAAAAAATTACGTGAAAAAAATAAAAAATATTATAATTCATTGATCATAATTTTAAAAAAAAGAAAATCTATTAGTAACATAAAATATTAGTAATTCTTTTTTAAAAAAACAAAAAAACCTGTAAAGAATCTAATTGAATGTAACGTGCTAAATTATCGGGTTGTTCTCGAAGATTGGTAATAACTCGATATGCTTGTTGATCTTCGGTCATAAATGCTGGTGGCAATAAACCATGAATTCCAAAATATTGTCGTTCATGTAATGTAAATGCCATTCCCTGTAAAAAACATATAAACCATTAGTTTTTTTTTTTAATATTTAAATTTGATTTTAGAAAAAATATTTTTAAAAGAAAAAATTAAATTCACATTATTGATTTGAAATTGAATACTACTATATAATGCTTATAGGAAGAATGAATTGAAAATTTTTTGATGTTAATTAATTAATGTAAATGAATGGATATTATTTAGGGATTGATAGTAGTTGTAAACTTTTGCTAAATAATAAAAGAGATTTCCGGATAGGAATGTTGTGGGTTGCAATTATGATTGTCAAATGGAATGTTAGGATATGGATAATTTTCATGAAATAACTAATTTGGAAGTGTAATTAATAATAATGATGAAAATGGTATTAATGCAACTATTTGATATTTTACTAATTTTACTAATTATTTTTTATTTTTACTAATTAAATTTTACTAATTAAATTTTTTTTAAAAAATTAATCTTACTAATTAAATTTTTTTTAAAAAATTAATTCTACTAATTAAATTTTTTTTAAAAAATTAAATTTACTAATTAAATTACAGCAAAATTATTATTTATCTTTTAATTGAGATATAATTTTCATAAACTTAATTTCATAATCTTACTATTTTCGACGGTAAATCCTACTACTATCATTTGAAAATCTTGCTAACAAAATAATAAATTATGCTAATTTTTTTTTACCTTTTTTTTGAGCTTTATTTCAAATAAACTTATAGCTTGAATTGTTAGCTTGCAGTAAGAATGTTTACGTTGAAATTCTTACGTTTTTTTTTTTTTTTTTTGTTTACTTACTTTAAACGTTGAAAATACGAAAAAATTTTACCTTACATGTACGATTATCTTTTAGAAGTTCAATTCCACGTTTTTTAGGTGTTTCACGTTCTTGCCGATATAACATATGTAAATTAATATCATCTTGCGTATGACACCATTCCGGAATTGGTTCATCCATAAACGGATGATTTCCATTGTTTTGCTTATTTCCCATTATTCGTTTTGTAATATAACTTCAATTTAAACATTAATTATTCCAATATCATTAGTTTCATTAAAGATAATTTTCTTGTATTAACAAAAAAAACCAAAATATTAAAAAATGACATTTTGTTATTTCAAATCTTTGAGAATAGAAAAAAAAAAAGAAAAAGAAGCAATTCTAAAATTTAAACATTTTTTTTTTAAATTAATTTCTCTTTCATTAATGTTTTACTTAAAAAATTCAAATAAAAAAAAATGTTACTTACTTAAAAGTTGATATCATTACATTTCGTTTCAAACAAATCTTTGAAAATATCCGTTGTGATAGCAACAATTGATACAGAACCTATTATATATTAATGAAAGAAATACAAAAGATTACAGTATGATAAAAAATTAATCAATAAAGTTTTAAAAATTTTTTTGATATTGTTGAATTTTATGAAAAATAAGTGAACAAGATGATTGATAAACAACCAACCATTACTGGTAGATAAATTTAAGATTAACATTTTAAAAAAATTAAAGAAAATTATGTTAGCAATTTCAAAACATATATATAATTCAATTTGCATTTAATAAATTTATTTAATTAAAACGTTATTCAGAATGACTTTTAAATATGCTTGTTTAATTTTTTGATACTGTAACTTTTCATTGCTGTAAAAAAAAAAAAGGAAAAAATGCTTCCGATAAATTTAGAGTTACATACTATCACCAATATTTTATCATATGGATTATCCTAATCGGCTGATAAATTAACAAAGCTTTAAATGAAATTCGAATAAAAACATGAAATTTTAATTCGTAACTTAATTTAAATTCATTTCTCGGTATTTCTTAGAGAGAATAATCCGATAATTGTAGTATCACATATTCTTTCATACAAAAAAAAAAAGAAAAGAAGAAACCCAGCTATTTCTAACCATATCAGCTTAGATGTTTATTTTTGGTATTGTCATATATGCTTAATAATCATGAATTAAGAATAACTTTATGTAAGATTATATTTGAAATTAATTAAAACTACCATTTTATTGTTTCATTACAAAAAATTTAAATTAAAACAACATTTATTAGAATGTATTTTAAGTAGCATAAAATTATTTAAAAGTAACTGATGCATAAGAAAAAGAAATTAATGAAAGACTACAATGTCTAAGATGAAATGAAACAAGATAGCAGTAATAATTTATAGTTTAATTCAATCAATACAACGTTTATAAAGTATATACTATTATGCAGCAATATATACATTTAACAAACGCATAATGTCTTTACAGACAATCATTGGCATCAAATAAATAATTCTAAATCAATAATAATTAATCTCTTAAGAAATTGATATTTAATATTTTGAGATTTGTCAGATTAATCAACAACAATGAAATGAGATACTTTTAAGTAAAAGCCGTTTACTCATACTATCTAATCACTGATCTAATGATTGTTTCGTCATCTATTCGTCGACACTTTCACGACGTGAAACTGGTACCGGAAAACCATGTTTCATATCATGAGCTGGCCATTCATATGTAACATTGATTAATTCATCGTATGTTGTCTGGTAAATTTGGGAACGCACAAAATGTTCCATATCGTTCGGTTTCGGATAAAGACCTGCCATACCTTTCTGAAATAATTAATTCATTGTAAATAAAAAAATTTTTCAGACATTTTATTATGTCATTCATTCTCATCCAATTAGTACATTAAACTTTACAAAAAACTCTGTTAAGGTTAAAAGCTAAATCGTTATTTCAAGCAAAATAAAACCTAAAAAATGACATGTAAAAATAATAGAGAAAAGAGAGGATTTTTATGATAATTTAACAAAAGGATACCATTCGTTATCATTTGAAAGACAGGTAGGTCAAAATACTAAAGAATGAAAAATCTTAATAATATCTATATAAAGTTGGAACGAACCTTATATGCATGTTCACCAACCGCAAGGGCTATTTTCACAGATAATTCACGAATGCGATTTAATCGTGGATACAAGCGGCCTAGTTTGAAGTCTTTATCTGTCACAGTATTTGCAACCTCCTGCAATAGTAATTATATGTCAACTAAAACATCCAAGTACGAATAATAATCATTACAAATGTCTAAAATTTAATACCAATTTTAATGGTGCTCATGGAAAATGTCTACTTTAAGTCCAAGGGAAATAATATCCACAAGAGTGAATGTTACAAAGACAAGAAAAAAAAATGTAAAACAAGCAACTGTCTTTTCATAGCACTTATTTTCCTATATATAATGTAGCAATAAAGTATTAAAAAAAGAAAGTAATAACAAACATGAGCAGCAATCAGAAATGTCTCATCATCAATATGACGCACGTTGAAAAGGATAGCACCGAGGCCTACACCTGGGAAAATGTATGCATTATTTCCTTGACCTGGCTTAAAAATTTTTCCATTATACTCCACATTTGGAAATGGACTACCACTAGCAAATAATACTTTTCCCTGAAACAAATATAAAATAATTCTGGAAATATTTCAACTTTTCATGTTACATCTCTCTTTTAGATAACACAACATATTCAGGTAACGTACAGTACTTAATGATTTCCATCAAATTATATTTTCAAATTTTCAAAAATTTAATTATCGAATGATTCTCCGATCAAACGCGACTGAAACCGACACACATACATACATACATACATACAAGCAATTAGAAACATACATCAGTCCAACGGTAAGCTTCTTCCGCTGTACATTCAGCTTTATTTGTAGGATTTGAAAGTGCAAAAATAATGGGATGTTCATTAATTGATGCCATCTCGCGAACAATTTCTTCAGTGAAAGCGCCACGTACTGTCGAGGCACCAATCAAACCCCATGGCTTCACTTTCTTTACAACCTGTCAAAATATCATGAAATTTAATTTTAATTTTTTTTTCTCTCAATAACTTAATTTAATCGAAAGTTAAAGGGAAAATTAAGAAAGTACTCGTTGTTAATCGTATCATCATTATCTCATTTCAAATAACTTATTCAATTCAACCTCAATTCAATGCATTTCTTCTATAAGTATGTATGGTGAAAATGATAGAACAAATATACTTACTTCTAGTAAACTTTTTGTTTCAGGTAAATCTTTTGCATAAGGTTTATGTAAATCGCTTAGATTTTTCCGATTTTTTGTGATCAATCCATCAATATCCATTAAAAAAATACGATCATATGCTTGTTGTTTTGTTAAACCTTCTGTTATCATTTCTGCTACACACAATTCAGCAATACCCATTGAAGCCTAAAATAATTGTAACAAAACTTACCAATTTAGTTACATGATGTTATATATTATCATAATAAAAACTAATTTAAAAGTTATTAATTATGTTATTAATTAGTTAATCATGTAAAAAGTTACTGTGTAGAAAGAATTTTTTTTCTAAAGATTTTTTAATTCAATTAAAATTCAAATAAATAAGCTCACAGTTCCAGCACCCAAGAAAACAAATTTTCCTTCTGCAAGTGATTTACCAGTATACTTCCAGCAAGCTAAAAGACCAGCTACTGCAACAGATGCAGTTCCTATAAAAAAAAAAATAAATAAATAAAAAGAGAAATGAATAAACAAATAAATAAATAAATAAATAAATATTAGTAAGATAACCAAATAAACAAAGTGATTCAAATATTAAAAAACAAAAAAGAAATTATGCAGTAAATTAAGATATAACTGATAATGAATACAGGTAAAAATGTGGAAAAT